CCCCCCCCCAGGATCCTCTCTGGTGTGTTTGGGTTAAATCATCTTCAATAATAAACCACCTCAACTACTGATCAAACAAAAATGATGTCTTTGTCTAAAAAGGCCTGCACTGCCTTATATAACTCATGGCCACCCAAAACTCCAGACATTTCAAAGTGAAGTCCTAAGACAATAAAGAGTCCTCTGACAGTAACACAAACCTTTTTCTTTCAAATGTAATATACTTACTGACAGTATAAGTTTTCCTAATCTAAGCATCAGCCTTGGATCCGTCACATCCAAGAATTTAAATAGAGTCTTGAGAATTTCTCCTCGCCTGCGAGCCGATGAACTCCCACTTGCCTTGCCCATCATCCCTTTTCTCTCCAACAAATTCCATAATTTCAAACAATCTCGACAAAGTTCACCCGTATTGTTAGCAGAAAATTTATCCTCCATTTGGACCAAAAGTGGTTTGACTTGCTCCTCGTAATATAAAGCGAGTTCATCTTTTGTTTTGTCTGATTCTGATCCTGGTTTTCTTTTTCTTTTATCCCCACTACTGGCCCTCTCAGTGTGATTAACATCCTTCTTAGGGGAGCTTTCCTCTGACCTTGTACCATTTCCATTATAATTTAACTTCTTATTCAGTTCTTGGTTCTCGGCTGCGCACTCCTCGGGGGAGAGAGGGGAGCTTCTTTCTTTTGGACCGCTACGAACCCGCCTTGTTACCAATAAGTCAGCCTTGATTGCAGAAGGAGGGGTAGGGGTAGGGGTAGGACCTGCTGAATTACGCCTGGCAATGCTAGCAGAGCTTGGTGGTGTATTAGAGGACAATACTTTCTTGGGTGGTGAAGGGCAAAAGACTATTGGGCCGTCACTACCAGCAACAGCTGATTTGATTTTGGCATTTGTTTTGGGTGAAATTGAAGGGGTTCCTGATGCAATGGTTGGTACTTGTCCTGTTAGGGGTTGAGAGGTGTTTGTGTCTCCATTGGAGGGAAGGGAGGTTCTTATTGGACGTCTAACTTTGGAACTTGGAGGCTAAAAATGACAAAGGAAAGATTGTTAATTTGTTATATACTTATTATATACCAATGCACAAACCTACAAAGATGATATATTTTTCAATATTCACCTCCTAACCTTGGAATGTACCTCCCCCACAGAGAGGAATTAGGGACTAAGAATTAGGGGTAAAGTATGTACTTCATTGTTGTGGAGTGTGTAAGAGTGGGGTGTGGGGTATGTTATTCCAGAAAATACATCAAGATAATGCCCAGTYGGCTGTCAGTCATGATGAATAGTCAAATAAGTTTTAGCTTGGTTGTACCTCTTTTTTGGCTCAATGTTACTGGTCAAAATGACTGGCAACGCAAAGATTTGACCGGACAATTTACAATTTTGGATGGGCACTGTCCAATGGTCAGCTGTTATTTTAAGCCTCTAGTTGTATATAGATGCAGAAAAATCTCTATTTTGCACCCAGGGAGATCAATGAAATTTCTAAAGGATTCTGGGATTTGAGTAATAAATCCTCTATGAGAATTTAAGTCTTAGGGTACTTAGGTCTTATATCAATACCAATATTTTATGAAGGAAGCATTGATCATTTCAGAAACTATGCAATATAAGTTTTGAATTTTTAAGTTTTGAGTTTAATTTTTGATAAGAGGTACTTACAGTTGATGGTGGTCCTGGAATAAAAACCTCCTCGGGTATCTCAGGTGCATTTTCTAATGGAGTAAGCCTTGCTCTTCCTGAAGGTGGACGTGACGATGACTCCTCATATTGAAAATTCCCACTAAAACAAAAGGGAATAATAATAATTATATCATGATTATTTTTCAGTAAAGTAGGAAATGGGATTACTTGCCCTAAAACATTAACTCTCTCTCCCTTCCCCTGACATACAAAACAGAGACAATATTGCGTTATGACAGGTTGTGATTGGAAGTTTAAAATTTCATTTTCGTTTAATTTCAAACTGAGACAAACCCAAAAAGTGGGTATTGAAAGGTTATGATTGGAAGTTTAAAATTTCATTTGTTAATGAATAAATACAAATTAATATTCTTAGTTCTTTATCATTCTTTTTCTGTTGCTTTTAATTCTTGTATTGTAGAAATCTTTTTTGTTGTTGAAACCTTTAATTATGAAATCCTGAGATGATAAAAAAAATTATCTTGGCATAATATCTTTTGAAAAATACTAGGAAATCTATAGAATTGAGATTATTCCCTCTGTGAATAATTTATTCTTTCATGACGAGAATTTAACAGAATCTAAACTCATTAATTATGAACACGACATCTAAAGTCACATATACCTACATATATGCTATTTACCGGCCAGGAGGTCTGGATAGTGAAAAACGGTGCCCAGGGTCTTGAATATACGGACCAAGGCCGTTAGGCTGAGGTCCGTTTTCAAGACCGAGGGCACAGTTTTTCCCTATCGGGAGCGAATATAGGACAGTAAATAACTTTTAGTAAATAATTTTTTCCCGTATTTTTTTTACTTGTTTTTGTAATTGTTTTGTTTTGTCATTTAGTGGCAAAGGATACCGGACCCTGAGCATGGGCAGATACTGACAAAATACTGCCCGCTCAAACAGCCAATCAGAAGGCACGATTTTTTAAGATACCGGACTGGAAAAAAATAATGAATGTTATTTAAATATAGAAAACTAACTCATCATTTGATGTCTTCCTTTCGTTCAAAATCTTAATTCCATCTTTTCCCTTTCACTTTTTAGAATTGATATATATATATATATATATATACCCTTATTCATCATTTCTAGTATTGTTTTAAAGCTGTCATTTTTTTTTTCTACCTGTAATTGATTGGTAAATAAGTTAGTATCTCTAACCAGTAATTTATTAATATTCAAGTTAAAAGATTTCGTTTTAGTTGGTCAGTGTCAAGTTCACTGTCAAACAGAGACTGCAAACGGACGACAAGTGGATCAAGAATAAAAATTATAAGAGACATTTATGACAAAAAATTTGAATTACATTGACAACGTGACAGACAGAAGACATTTATGAAGGCATTTACTATGCACACAGACTTTATGGAAATGTTGATCTTTCAGCTATTGTGACAAACTAAATATTTAGTTCAGTTAGCAAAACACTAAATTATTTCAAAAACAAAATTCTATGGAAAGAGTATTTATTGTTAAAATTAGCATCTTGGTTTGGTATCTTGGTTTTGTTAATTTGATTTTATGAAAATTCTAAAATGGCTTAATTATGAAACTTGAGGAAAAAAGGATACGGTCAGTATTCGAAGGCTTTCTTATGAAAGAAAAATCCATTAACTTTAAAGTACATAAAGCTTGGTTTCAAAAAAGATTCCGAAAATTACGAGAGAATTTCAAGGAAATATAGGAAAAATACGAAAGAAATAAAATAGTTGAGAAGTTCAGACTTCTTGCAGTTGAACAAGTTTTGTATTTATTAAGTTCTTACATGTAGATATTATTATATTATTTTGTAGARTTTCGCTACGAAGACAGCTGCTTTGGAAAAACTAAAATCGTGACAGGTATAGAGTACACTGCCTGACCCTAAGGGCAGTTAGAAAGACATGAATCATAGCATTAATAACCACTAGAACTTCAACAAAATATTTAAACGTTAATTCAAGTTAAATGTTTGTGGGAAGATTTGGTTGACGGTAAAAAAAAAACCCAAGATGATCACGGTAAACTTTAAAAATAATTTCTTGGAGCCAAGCGAAGTTTTTCTTGATAGTTTAGCCTTGTTATTTGGGCATTAGGAATAGTTATTATAGGTAGAAAATTAGACTTAAGTATAGTATTACGAGTGCTTGGTTGATATATAAAATTGTGGTCTGTCCACAAAACAGTAAACACACATTAGCCACAACAACTGATTCATGCCAGTTTAGCGGACTTCAAACCCACAGAAAACTTTACCTGAGAACCGAAGGAGGTCGTCCTTCCACTGGTCTTGTAGCACTGTTACCAAATAAAGTCCTCTTTGAGTCTGTTGGAGTACAGGGTCGTCTTGTTTGGAGAGAACGAACAGCGGAACGTGCTTCAGCAACAATGTCTGCACTTGTTGTCCCCGTCTTCTCGTAAAATGGCCGGTCGGCGACTCGTTTGTTTTTGCGCGGCTGACGACCAGACGCTTCCATTATGGATAATAATGACAATGCTAATGGTAAACTACATGCTTTTCTATGTTGGATATTATTTTACAGGGTCAAATGAGTCAAAATTATACGAAGAAAATGACCCATAAATTCATCTTGTTCAACAAGACATCCGTTCCTAAGAACGCTTTTCTTGATGACCTCGTTTCCATGAGCGAATACTAACATTACTGAGCATGCGTCATATTTTCCCGCAAAAAAATGAACCAAAAAATAAAAAATAAAAATCTTGTATTTTAAAATAAAAGCACTCCATTATACTCTTTTTACTAATTCAAATATAAGTAATGATCAAAAACCAGGGTATATATTTGTTGAATGATTTAAATACTTTTAAATTTCATAATGAAATAATTTTGTTTAAAAAAATTGTGTTATTGAATTAATTTTAAGAAAGAGCATCCAGCATCGTTTTTATTAATTAGAATGATGCATCCCGAAATTTTTATTAATGAAAAAGTCGTGAGATGGGAAATGCGCAAGCGTTCTTTTAAATTTGGTCAGTGGTAATGCATATTGGATTGTGCGTAGTACAGTCGGTCCAAGATGGCGGGAAGTTCAGGATCGTTTCGTCAATTGAAAGACAAGCCATGTTCTGCCGAGGTCTCCTGCATGAAATGGTCGCCAAAAATGGATCTCCTGGCTTTGGTTTCAGCGGAGGGAGAGGTCTGGCTACACCGGCTGTCTTGGAAAAGGGTTTGGTGTGTCCCTGCGAGTGAAGGCAAAGCCGTTCAAATAGCATGGAGACCGGACGGTAAGGTCCTGTGCGTGGGGCACCAAGATGGTACCATCAAGCTTTTTGACGTAGAGAACGCTGAATGCATCCATACCTGCAGCATTGGAGAGACTCCTTCCTATATGGACTGGATTGAACAAGTGAAAACTTCGAGTCTATGCAAAGATATAGACAAACAGCCGTTCAATGTAGACAAAGCAGAGCTACTCCTCCCTACTCTCCCCTCCCTACCCAAATCTGGAGAGAGTTTATTCTCAAAGGATTCCAATGAGGAGGGGAATAAAGATCCTAAGAAACTGTCTTCCTTACCTGAAGAGTTAAGTATTCTTTGCATTGGTGACAAGAAAGGTCAAGTCCATATTTTTCTTTATGGCGTGTTCCTGTGTGGGGTGGTGAGCATGACAAATACTTTCGAAGACTCAGAAATCCTAAATGTCTCATTTTCAACTAACCTTAAAGTTATAAGTGCCGTCATCAAATCTATGACCAGCAGTGACCAGCAGGTGCTATTACTAGAACTATATGGCAGCCCTCTACTAAGTTCCCGACAGCACGAACTTTCTGTTGTTTCCAAGAAGATTGGTACTATATTGACGCTGATGGAGTACTTCAACAAAACAATAACATTGATGTCAGAAGCATGGGAGGATATACTCCTAGAAATGGACACAAAGTTAACAACCTTTGCATCTGAAAGACTTTCTGCCGGTTCTTCTGTCAGTGAGGAATTTTTGACACTTCTTACGAGAGGGACTGCATCCCCTGAGCTACAAGCATTCCTTCTTCATGAATTAACCGAAAAAGGGCTTAAAAAGTTGGGTCATAATATCGAGAATTCATATTCTAGCATTCAAGGTTTGGCACTAAAGCATTTGCAGTGCGTAACACAGGCACTGTTGTTTCACTTGACAGAGATGAATGGAATGGCAAAATGGTATGACCATTTTGGTATCTTGGGCCTCTCCGATGAATCAATCCAGAAGACTATAAAGATGCTTGGATCTGTGATGTTAAAGACCAGAGAACTTGTTGATGTCATCGAGACAAGTTTGAAAAGTTTCAAAGCCTTCTTCCAATGGTTGTACTCTGTTATTCTGAGGCTTTCCGATGAAGCTGTCCCAAGTTATGTGAAGCAGTTTAGCCAGCAAGACATAATCATGATCGCGAACTTCCTTGAGGACCAATTAAAAGTCAACGACCAAGGCAAATTCAGTTTAGAAAGAGTAGGGCAATACTTTGAGAACAAACCACTGACTGATATCTCGTCATACGGAGATACTCCGTGGACACGGTTTGTAGCAAGTAACCCAGTGTTGATTAGGAGTCCATTGATCATCACTCATAACAAGAATGTCTCTCTTACGACCTTGGCAAAACAGCTACAAGAGAGCATAGAGAGTGCCTTCGAAAAGTTGGCTGATACAATAGGTAATTCATTTCAGTGTCAATCATCTACTCACTTGGCAGACTGCGACAGCAGTTCATCAGTTACAGTCTCTCAGTCCACATCAAAGGCTACAGGGGCTCAGAATCTAGTCTTTGGGGCTGGTAAACATGAGCTGAATAAAGTCTTCCTCGTCTGTTTGACATCAGATCAAAACAATGAAGGCGCTGTGACTGGAAAAGCATCTAAGGTCTTTGTCTCTCAGATACCAACAGAAGAAGATGATATCTCTTACGGAATACTAGATGCGATGTTCTACGACTCGGAAACACTAACGGTGCTGCTCAAAGAGAAAGGAATTGACAAAACAGAAGGAGAAAAAGTAACAGTTTTAGCACAAGTTCCACTTAATTTAATCCCACTGGATAGTTTCATCCCCTTTAGCAAAAAGGAATTTCATTATGGAAGCTTTCTTGCCATAAGTCCAAGTTTAGCTGTCCACGACATTGGTCCCAAACTAACTCATTACCGCAAGCTCTCAGGCTTTCAGTCTGGCTCAATATCTGTCAGTGGTTCAAGAAAAGTCAGTTGTGTGTTGTCGTCAACTAGAAGGAGAGTTAAGCTATTCGATATGGATGCAGAGGATGAGGAAGAAGATGATGAAGATGAAGTGAGTAAAAATGAAAGCAAAGACTTTGAAGAAACTGCAAACACGACTTTATAGAGGAATTTTAGTTCAAATATGATGGATTTCGCTTGAAGTGGTATAAGTGGTGCATGGAAAATCTGATCATTGGATTTGCAAATAGCCCACTTCTGAGATACGCTTCACTTGTCACGCACAAAGGTTTCAATGTGAGGGTTTGTGCATAATGAACCGCGATTCGTGACTGGGGAAAAGATGAAATTAAATTTAGCACATAGCCTCATACGGTAACCTTCGTGGGTGACAAGCGAAGCATATCTCAGAAGTGGACAATTCATATAGAGCATTTTCAAGTGATGTCATCATCCATGTTGGTGTACCAAAGCAATCTAATTCCATCCTTGGAGAATTGAACTCTATTTTTATGCCAAAAGTGTGCAGAAAGTTTCTATTGTTTGGTATGCCAATATGGCTGTCTTTTCACATTAGTGAGAAGCTCTATATGATGATTCACTATAGCAGACTGAGCCATCGCCACCCGGTTAGCTCAGTTGGTAAGAGCGTCGGTCCATTGTGCGGGAGGTCATGGTTCAAGCCTCGGCTGGACCAACACTCGGGGTCTTAAAATAACTGAGAAGAAGGTGCTGCCTTTGTAGTTACATCTGCAAATGGTTAGACCTTCACGTGGCTCGGATGGTCACGTTAATGGCGGTCCCATCCCTAATTAACTAGAGACATTAACAGAGGACCACAAGTTTATCAGTTGAATTACTGTCAAGTGTTATCCTCTATAAAAAAAGTTAATTAATTAATTAATTAATTACTCCATACGTGATTGACAAATACTTTTTTTAACTATCTAAAATGATTTGCATGAAATGATTCAACATTAACTATAATTTGACATTACCAATGTTCTTATTACTATATCCTATTCGCACTGTTCATCAACCTTAGTCGACCTTAGTCCAATCAAATAAACCTCTTTGGCTTCGTATGCAAATTGCCCATTTCAGATCACATGACATTCCCTTGAGAATTGTTCTTTTATGACAAAACATGTCAAAATAATTACACATGAAAGAATCAACTTCCCAGAGTGGCATCACATGGTCTAAAATGTGCACACCAGACAAACGAAGCTGAATAGGTCTACTAAATCCTTCCCATGTATCTTTCCAGTACTATGTACGTTAATAAACTCTCATATTTTGTTTATTGATTGTCATCTTTTGCCCTTTAACCTGTCGATGTTTATCTTGATCAATGTATAGCAATAATAGTAGTAAACCTATATGAATACATCGGTCAGAGTATTTGTTTGGTCTGAAATTCAAGCTACGTAAGAATAGTATTTTGTGAAACTTAATCTAAAATCCTAGCTATAGTTTGAAGGTTGTCTAGGCCTTTATACATGGAGGTTAGGCTAATCCTAGTACTAGGGACAAGCCTCTCGTTTGTTTTACTGAGGGGAAGACGGCAAAAACAAGAGAGCTTACTCCAGCATTATAATCACCCTCCCTCCATGTAAACAGGGCCTAATTTCACGTCATCCGAGCTCGGCATTGAATGGTTCTAGAAAGAAAATAGCTCTGATACTTTTTTAAGTACTTGGAACATCACTGATCACAGTGGATCATGACTTTAATGGCTCCACCCTCCCCTGATGCCGACGTCTCAAATGCCTTTCTTGATTCTTCAAGCTTAAAATGATGTGTGACTAGTGGTTTGACGTTAACAGTTCCTGAGGCAACCATAGCAAGAGCTGTTGGGTAGCTGTGAGAGAAGGAAATTTTGATTTCAAATTTTGCACCACTGCAATTTTATTAGATAACGAAGGTGAAACAATGCTGCAAAATAATAGCCATACTGTAAACATACTGTGTCCTTAATCACTCCTTATTGTTATTGGATGCTGAATTACTATTTCTTAAGCATTGCCATGGACCTCACACAGCGGCATAAATACATGTTTATTCTCTTCTTGAATTTAACTCACATAAAGAAAATTATTCTCAAAAGAATGAAATGTGGTTTGAAATGGGAAAATATTACGCCCGAGCCGAGGAGGTCTATTCTGAAGCACTTAAACGTGAGGCTAAGCATGGTGGAATCTATTATTCAAAACAACATGGCTGCCGCATTTACAACACTTTACAATAAAAGCATACAAAAAAAAAAGAACAAGGTCCTAGAAAAAAAAAACAAAAAAAAACATGGCTGCCACATAAAAAAGGTAAATGTATTTATAAACAAATACTTGAATTTTATTGGTCACCAATTTGAATATCCAAACATGCTCCCTCCACTTTGCTTCAAATGTCGACATGGAAACAGGGGTGTGGTCAGTTCCAACAAAGTTCAACACCCCTCTTGAGACTGTACTCTAGATTACAATAATGCATTCAACTTACCAGTTGACATAGCGGAATATCCCTCTTATATCAACCTCACGCACCAAGGCATTAACTATCGGCAAGTTAATTTCACTCTTTCCCATTCCAACAATCACCAACACACCTCCAGACTTGGTTGCCTAGTAACAGGAAAACTAGAGAGTTAAAAGTTATTGACACTAATTAGGAAGCATGTTTACTATTTGCATCCCATGCCTTGGTGCATATCCAGGATTTTTTCTTGGACAGCTCAAGCTGACCACGAACTAAACCAACCAAAAGAGCGACTAGCTTCTAATTAGGGGGTACATACTCGTCCTTTAGGGGGATGGAAAAAATCAAGATGATATAATGAGGGGGTTGTAGATGTCATTTAGGGGGTTCGATTCATGTATTATGGTTTAGGACGTTCCGACAAACCCCCTAGGTCTGGCACTGTTTTTACCTTAATAGGTGTAATATCAAATTCTGTACAATAAATTTAACAATAACTTACAATAATTGGTTATTTTTTGTCATCAACAAGAGGACAGACAGATAAAGCTGACGTCAACRAGCGCGCGCTCTTTCCGTTGGTTGTTTTGATCGCTAAAAATGAGCAGTTTTTAATGCTCTTGTTATCGTAAAAAACAAACAGACATCAGTTTTTTAATGTGTCTGTCCTCTTATTGACGATAATGTAGTAGTATGCAGATCCACTACTCTACACCCGATGGATCCACCCTACTTTGACAAAGTGATGACGCAATCTATTGTCAATAAAAGGACAGACACATAAAACTGATGTCTTTGTTAATTTTACACTTGTCATCTAAATATCCCACATCATCACCATAGAACAGATTTGCATGGAGACGTCAACCCACTAACTAGTGCACATGTTGATTTTAAGCAGACTCACATAGATTCCAGTGTGTATGCTTGACTCTGCTCCTGTACATTCAATAGTCTTGTCAGCAGCTGTGCCAAGTTGTTCCAAGATCTTGTTGGCAACTTCCTTGCCATCTCTGCTCTCAACCTTGATTGTATAATCTGCCCCCAGTTCTTTGGCCTTGGCAAGGCGGCCTTCATCCAAATCTGAAAAACCATAGCAAATATATTAATACTGAAATGAGTTTAACTGATTAAATTAGTATGAAATTTTTTCCAAGGAACGCAGCAGTATTTTATGGATACAATAATGGTCTTTTAAACACAGCCAGAATATAAATTCATTTATAATACCATTCTCACCAGTTATGGCTATTTTGCTTGCACCACAAGCTTTTGCAGTAAGGAGGTTGACCAGTCCAATGGGTCCTGAGATCAATTGAATCATTGAAAAAAAATTAAACATTAAAATAGCTATATATACTATGTTAAAGAGTGCAGGTGCATGGGGTGACATTGCATGCAGGTGCATGGTGGGATTTAAACAATAGTAGTAGAATGATTCTGGTTCTAAAGGACCGTCATTATGGTTGTACGCATGTGCAACATGTCTCACCTGCTCCGCATACAAGAACATTATCTCCAACAGTGATACCAGCCCTGCGGCAAGCATGGACAGCTACGGACAGTGGCTCCAGTAAAGCACCTTCTTCAAAACTGACATGATCTGGCAACCTAGGATACAGAATAATTTAAGTTGTAATATTATTTACTTAACGAGAAGACACTCAATTTATTAATTAAAATTGATCAATATTTAGTGTGGTTTGGTTGATGAAAGTAAAAATGTTAAGTTTCTTAAAATTACCCACCCCCCTCCCCTACCGAGAAATTTGGAATTTTCAGGGGGGAGAACAAAATTGCAGAGTTTGTATTGAAGAAAATGTAATTTCAGGGAAGTAGGTAGCCTGCGTGCAGCCGAACCTAACCATGTATTAACTATATGAGAGAATAATTTCTAGAACTACACAATACTTACTTGTAACAGAAGTCTGCTGCATGATTGTAACATTGACAAAGAGAGCCATGGAAGGGTGGGGTAGCACAAAATTTCATCTCTTCACAGAGGTTATAACGTCCTTCTTTGCAGAAAGGGCAAGTGCGACAAGGCACTCCCGGCTCAATAGCCACCCTATCACCTTCAAATTAAACCAACAAGCAATCGTAAATAGATTTAAAATAAAAAATAAATAATGAAACAACAAATTGAATTATCTAGTTACGATATTGCTTCTACTATTACATGACTGGCACACTGTGGTGTTGCCACAGCAACATTATATCTGATCATTCCGATTGCATGGCCTTTGACTCACCAACTTTCAGATGCGTCACACCTTCTCCAACCTCAGCGACCACTCCACTTGATTCATGTCCCAGAACCATTGGCTCATTGACGATGAAATCTCCAATCCTCATGTGCTTCAAGTAATGGACATCAGATCCACAGATACCAACGGCATGCATCGCAATTTGCACCTCTGTTGATTGAAATTAATGAATACTAAATTATTTTTGTCTACGACTTTGAAGACTTCTGGATTGAGATGAAAATTGCTGATGGACACCAGGGCTTAAAATAACGGCTAGATATCAAACAATGTCTGTCCAGAATTGGAATTTGTCCACTTAAATCTTTGCCTTGCCGGTCATTTTAATCAGTAATGTCAAGCCAAAAAAATGAGATAGGAGTTAAAACTAAATTGGCTGGTCATTACCAGTGACTTACTGGCCGTTATTTTAAGCCCTGGTGTGCCTATCTTGGCTGTCTGCCATCTTGCCCAGTTGTATGAAGGGTGGTTAGCGCTATCCGACAGATAAATCTTATGCAGTGGACACATTTATTGGATAACAGCATTGACTTATCCACTGTATAAGGATTTATCCATCGGATAGTGCTATCACTCCTTCGTACAAGCGGGCCCTGTTATATATAATCATCATCATCTGTCTGTCTGTCTGTCTGTCTGTTCAGTCTATGCAGACGTGTTCGTAACCGCTCCGTAATCTTCAACATTTTATAAAGCTTTTATCGAATCTTTGTCTCCAAATGGCAAATCTTATTGAGTATTTAAGTTATGATGAAAAGGATAACGATTTCACTTGGCGTGGTACGCAACAA